GACCTCGTGATCCACCTGCCTTGGTCTCCCAAAGTGCTGGGATTACAGGTGTGAGCCACCGCGCCCAGCCGAAAAACAAATTTCTAAAAAAGTAACCCAGATGGAAGATAACTAAATCGATTTAACAACTAAATGCAATGTGATCCTGACAAAGGACATTACTGGTAAATTTTTAGAAGGTTACAGTATTACATCAATGTTAATTTCCAGATCTTGATAACTATTCTATAGTTATGTAAGAATATCCTTGTTTTTAGAAAAGTAGACAATGAGAAGTATATTCAATCTCAAGTGTTTCAGAAAAAAATTACAGAGAAATATAAAGCAAAATATTAATAGTGAATGAATCTGTGTGAAGGAAATATGGAATTCTGAACTTTTCTTAGGCATAAAATAATTTTAAAATTCAAATTTAAAAGGTAAAACAAGAACAAAAATTATTGGCTAAGAGCCCAGAGATTAGAGGGAGAAAACTGGCTATTGATTCAACCTTTCAAAAAAGTGCTGAATGTCCCTACTTTTAAGGGTGAGTTAGTTAATATGCTTCTAATAATTACCACTTAAATGCTTTACAGTAGTAAAGTGGGACACTCACATAGTTTCTTCATCAATATCATTTTCTTCCGTATTACTTGTTGCTGTGGAACTAGCAGAGGAACTGCTGCCATCTAGCTGATTTACTTCATCCTCATAAACAAGATCCAGATCCAGATCTCCATCTGAAAGCTCGTGCTAGATCAATGCCAAGAAAACAAGACATCTATTCCAAATGTTTCTACTCAGTTGATCACCCCATCCACCCCATAAACCAAGCACCAAAGAATAATATAGTTATCAAAAAGCTATTTTCTGCTTCTGTGCCTCAGCTGCTGAGCCCTGTGGAGAAAAAATCACACAACCACAGTGACATCATTTTACAACTTATGTGTGCCGCCTTCAGCTGGGCCCTCAGTGTGACTGGAATCCTTCACATATTCCACATCAGCTTCCTCACAGAGCTGTTTCAAACCATCACTCCTCAGTTCTACCTAATTTTACCATTATCAAGGTCATTAATTAACACTGTCACCTATCTGCACAGAAAAAAAATACCCACTATTAAGCAAAAACTTCCCCAACTTTCAGCTGCCTTACCTGCAAACTCCACCCTTCCTTTAACTCAGTTTGTCAAAGACTAACTGCTTCACCTGACTGCTCCATTCCAAACCCTATTATCTCTAGTTTATCAAAGCACTTAATCTGTGCATTCTCTCGACCCACTGGGTCCTTCATCGTAACTTAAAACTGAAGTATCTCATCTTAAAAATTACTACAAATAAAAACAACTATCTAGGCATCCCTTCTTATGTAAAAATATCAACTACTTCTTAAATTCTTATTCTGGATTCTGGCTGTTGTTTAGCTGGGATAGAGCCTGGTTATCTACTAAATCCTAAATCATTCTACCTACATAAGTAATGACAAGGTATGTACTAGTTTCAGTGAATGAAAATAGAACACCTGGTTTTTTTTCTTTTTCTTTGAGATGGAGTCTTGCTCTGTCTCCCAGGCTGGAGTGCAGTGGCACAATCTTGGCGCACAGCAACCTCCGCCTCCCAGGTTCAAGTGATTCTCCTACCTCAGCCTCCCAAGTAGCTGGGATTACAGGCAAGCATCACCACACCCAGCTAATTTTTGTATTTTTAGTAGAGACAGGGTTTCACCATTTTGGCCAGGGTGGTCTCGAACTCCTGACCTCATGTGATCTGCCCACTTTGGCCTCCCAAAGTGCTGGGATTACAGCGTGAGCCACCGCACCCGGCCAGAACACACTTCTAAAATCCACAATTTATGGTAGTTTAGTTTTTTTTGTTTTTTGTTTTTTTTTTTTTTGAGATGGAGTCTCGCTGTGTCTCCCAGGCTGGAGTGCAGCGGCGTGATCTGGGCTCACTGCAAGCTCCGCCTCCCGGGTTCACGCCATTCTCCCGCCTCAGCCTCCCAAGTAGCTGGGACTACAGGCACCCGCCACCACGCCCAGCTAGTTTTTTGTATGTTTAGTAGAGACGGGGTTTCACCATGTTAGCCAGGATAGTCTCAATCTCCCGACCTCGTGATCCACCCGCCTCGGCCTCCCAAAGTGCTGGGATTACAGGCTTGAGCCACCGCGCCCGGCCTGGTAGTTTAGTTTTTAAAATGTACATCACAGTTTGTTTTATAGAATGTATTGTTTTATTTCAGAATCTTGAAATGCTTTGATTCAACAACTTCTGACTTATTAACATTTACATAAGGGCATATATACATTACTAATGGAAATCAATGGACAATATTTTTAGCCTACTGTTTCAGCACATAATACGTTAAAAGCCATGATTCTATTGTTTCTTTTATCAAACACAAAAATCTAAAACTGGCCTCATTATTACATGATAATCTTCATTCTGAATCTTCTCCTCCTCTTCTTCATCCTCTTTGGCCTCTCTTATAGAAGCTGTAGTAGGACCACCCTCAAGAAGCATGTCAGAGCACGCAGACTTCTTAGCTCGTGTCTCCGGAACATCATCATTTTGGGGGCTAAGATGGTTATCTGGTGGTGACAAATCTCTTGACTTCTGAGTTCGAGATAGCTCAATAGTAAGTCTCTTTTAAAACAAGAAAAGCACAAATATTAGCCATAGCTCACTGGCACAGTAAAAGATGTTTCTAGCTAAAAAAAAATGCATCCAGACGCTCCTAAAACCATTTCTTTCTTTCCTTATTTATTTTTTGAGAACTGTCTCACTCTGTTGCCCAGGCTGAAGTGCAGTGGTGCCATCACAGCTCACTGCAAGCCTTGAACTACTGGGCTCAAGAGATCCTACTGCCTCAGCCTCTCAAGTGGCTGGGACTGGAGGCATGTGCCACCATGCTTAGCTAATTTCATTTTTTATTTATCTTGCTACGTTGCTCAGGCTGGTTTTGAACTCCTGGGCTCAAATGATCTTCTGGTCTCGGCCTCCCAACATGCTGGGATTACAGGAGTGAGCCACCTCACTTGGCACCATTTCTTAAACTATTTCTCTGAATCCCTACTGCCTTTTATTTATGAAAAAAATTGATGACAAAGATAAACTGCCCCATATATGCTCATCTTCCTTCTTTCATATCCAGCCTAAGCTAAACATACAAATAGCAAACAGTATAGTGAATACAGGTAGTTTTAAATAGTACATTTAACATGAAAATCTCTGAAAGCATGTATTTATTCATATTTTCCTCCCTGACCTATTAACGATTCTCAGCACTCCAAACCTTCCGCCACATCCTAAGTTCCTAAGGGAAATGAAACATTCCTTAGTTTATCATTGTAAAATAAAAATTCATCAATTAATCTTCTCCAGTGCTCATTCAACTATAGTTAAGAGTTCAAGATGGGACAACTTTTAATTGTGCTATAGCCTAGAATCCTCTAAATCCAAGATAACTTGTGGAAGAGACACTAAGTCACTGACAGAAACACAAAGAGCTTACCTCAAACTACAGCCACACTGTTCAAAACAACTTTATGCAATGACAGAAATGCTCTAGATTTGCAGTACCCAATGCAAGCACTTGAAATGTGGCTACTGCAACTAAGGAATTAAATTTTTAATTTTAATCAAGTTAAATTTACAGACCAGGCACAGTGGCTCACACCTGTAACCTCAGCACTTTAGGAGGCCAAGGCAGGCAGAGTGCTTGAGCCCAGGAGTTCAAGACCAGCTTGGGCAATACGGAGAAGCCCCTGTCTCCATAAAAAATACAAAAACTAGCCATGACACCTGCTCAAAATCAGAGCTACCTGGGAGGCTAAGGTGGGAGGACCACCCAAGCTTGGGAAGCTGAAGCTGCAGTTAGTGGAAACTGTTCCTGGCAACGAGAGTGAGTGTGACCCTGTCTCCAAAATAAAAAATAAATAAAGTAAAACAAAAATTTATATAGCCATATGTGACTAGTGGTTACTAAACTGGACACTGCAGAACCAGTAAGGATGGGGAACAGGATAACTAGATTTTTTTTCCAATTATAAACTACAAAATTACAAATAGCAATAAATATATTAAATCTAATTACAAATATAACAAGCCAAAAGGACAATAGGAAACACTAAACCAGAAATATATATTTCCTTACCTCTTTAAGGTTGTTTATTTGTTGGATATAACTAGTCTGTGCAGCTTCCAACTGAGTAATGTACCAATGCTGGTCCCGGGATTTTTGAAAGAAAGTTGGTGAACGTACCTGAAACCTTAAAAGAATCGAGCCACATAAAAAAAAAAAAAAAAAAAAAAAAATTCAAATGGTAAAATATTATGAGTCTAGCTTTGAATTCTGTAATTTTGGTTAACTTGATTATAAGGCCAAAATTCACATAAACTTAGAGCTGCTAGTATTTGTTGTTTATAGATGTAATCCACAGATTATGACACAAGATTCTGAAAATCCAGTTGTCCTCAAACTACCTTTCTAAAGTACATTGTACATTGTAGTTAAGCTCCCCAAACTAACCTACTAAGGCATATTATAATAATGTAACTAAAATATGATGATGATCATGAGTTGGGAAGAAGAGAGCCATATACCATGCAGTTCCCTCCTATAAGGAGAAAGATAACTCTTATCCCTTTCTTCCCTAAATCAGGCCCTAGCAAAATACAAAGTTTTAAATGCTGCTCTTTATATTTCTCTATTCCATCTCACATTCCCATATTTCCTGCCCCTCAGAAAAAAATCATTTACTGGGTCAACCAGCCAGGATTGCTTTACTGTCCCCCAAAGAGTTACATGCTCTAAATAAACTATATCCCAAACCCTTCAAGATAGCAATCAAAACTGCCCTTATTACAATATGGCATTATTTCAGCTTAGATTAGGAAAAAAAAGTACTGCATCTACATAAAATCATATTAATATATAAATGACAGAATCTTAATCTATCCAGTTGTTTTAATTTTTAAAAAAACTAATACTTACTAAAGCAAACAAACCTCTACCTTTGTTACATAGCCTAACATAACTATATTTATAGTGAAAAAATTGCAGTGCATGTGTGAAGGTGTTTTTGAAGAAAGGAAAAACCACAAGGCAAGATTAATTTGGACATCTACCTCTCTTTCATTCCTTCCAGCCTTTTACCCAGTTACACAATGTTAGCTGTCCATTTTTTTCTAGGATTTTACACCTTAGTGTAAGAACCTACTGACCATTTAACAGTTATCTGGCAGTATATACCTAGTTTCAGTCAAGAATACTCATGCAAGAAAGGACAGAACATAAACACCGACTATAAAACAACAGTCCTATTTAATGTTGGGGTAGTCTTGATAGGTCAGAAGTTTTTGGGCATCATTATATGCTATATTTGGATTATCAAAATGAGAACTTGAGTATTTTTTTTTTAAAAAAGAGATTGGCTGGGCACAGTGGCTCACGCCTGTAATCCTAGCACTCTGGGAGGCCGAGGCGGGCAGATCACCTGTGGTCAGGAGTTCAAGACCAGTCTCGCCAACATGGTGAAACCCCATCTCTATTAAAAGTACAAAAATTAGCCAGGTATGGTGGTGGGCGCCTGTAATCCCAGCTACTCAGGAGGCTGAGGCAGGAGAATCACTTGAATCTGGGAGACAAAGGTTGCAGTGAGCCGAGATGATGTCACTGCACTCCAGCCTGGGCAACAGAGCGAAACTCCGTCTCTAATATAATATAATATAATATAATACAAAATAAAAATAAAATAAAATAAACAGATTAAAGTATGTTCTGAACTGAACCGAGCAGAGATGATTCACTCAACTGAGTAGAGATGATTCACAGTATAGGAAGCACCCACTGGTAAGACATTAAAGTAAGATCGTCTGAACACTATTATTTTCTTTGAATGACTTAAACCAGTGGTTAACCCTGAGCATTATAATATTTTGCCATTAAAACAAAACCAAGCAGCAGGTAAATTTTCTTAACTTTCTGTTTTAATGAAAGAATGAAATATATATTCATAGTTACAGAAAAGCCTTAAATAACTTTCTAATAAAGTTCCACCAGAATCTTGAACTAAATGAGGTTTAAAGTTTGAGCAATGTTTCATTAAATAAATAAATATAATACGATAATGAGAAGCTCCCTATCCACGAATTTCATGGCAATTTACTTATGGTGCTACTATAGCATTATTTTATAATAAGAGTGTAGTAAACTCTTTTTTTATCTGCCAATTTCATCTTGAGTTCCCTGTGGACAAAAACCATGTCTATATTTTTCTTATTAGCAACTCAGTGTCAGGCATATGGTACAGACTCAATGCTGCTTTAAAAAAATGATGTCCTAACAAGAATTTGTTTCTGTACTAATATATAACGGTAATAAGGATGAAACTAAGACTATAAGAAAATGGGTCTTTTGTAGGTTGGTAAAATTGATAGTTGAATAATTTTGTAATTCTCTCTATGGCTGAAGCATGAAAAGCAATAAATTACTTCTCTTGGCGAACATTAAACCCCAAAAGTCTGAAAAGCTATATGAAGATAACTAAAATAATCCCTCCCTTCAAAAAACATGATTCCAGGCACAGTGGCATGCACCTGTAATCCCACCTACTTGGGAAGTTGAGGCAGGAGGATCACTTGAGCCCAAGAATTCTAGACTAGACTGGGCAATATAGCAAGACACTGCCTCTAAACAAAACAAAACAAAACAATAACAAAAACATGAATCTTTTTCCCTACACTGAAAATCATATCCCTTGTTAAACTTCTTTATACTTCCAGAAAAGCTACGGAAAACACCTAAGAGTAAATGCTGATATGATCTGTCCAGTATGCTCAAGAACAAAGAGCTCTGAATAAGGGAAATTTAGGAGTACATTAAATCACTCTCAAGAAAAAAAAAGTTTCAAATTGTGATGAGAACTTTTTAAACTGCTAAATACTCTGAAACTTCTCAGTTACGAACGTATTTTAATCTTTTTAAATATTCAAGTTCTCATTTTGATTATCAAATTATAACATCATGTAATGATACCCAAACATCTTTGTTTGTTTTTTGTTTTTTTAAGACAGAGTTTCACTCTTGTTGTCCAGGCTGCAGTGCACTAGTGAAATCTCGGGTCACTGCAACATCTGCCTTCCGGGCTCAAGCGATTCAACTGCCTCAGCTTCCCAAGTAGCTGGGATTATAAGCGCCCACCACCACGCCCAAATAATTTTTGTATTTTTAGTAGAGACAGGGTTTCACCATGTTGCCCAGGTTGGTCTTGAACTCCTGACCTCAGGTGATCCACCCACTTCAGCCTCCCAAAGTGCTGGGATTACAGGTATGAGCCACGGCGCCCAGCTGATGCCCAAAAACTTCTGACCTGTGTAAAGACTACCCCACGTTAAACAGGGCTATTGTTTTTATTTACTTTATTATTATTATTTTTGAGATGGGGTCTTGCTATGTCGCCCAGGCTGGGGTACAGTGGCATAGTCTCGGTTCACTGCAACCTCCACCTGCCAGGTTCAAGCGATTCTCCTGCCTCGGCCTCCTGAGTAGCTGGGGTTACAGGTGCGTGCCACCACAGGCTGGCTAATTTTTGTATTTTTAGTAAAGATAGGATTTCACCATATTGGCCAGGCTGGTCTCAAACTCCTGACCCCAGGTGATCTACCTACCTCAGCCTCCCAAAGTGCTGGGATTACAGGCGTGAGCCACCATGCCTGGCTAAATAGGGCTGTTGTTTTATAGTCAGTATTTATATTCTGTCCTTTCTTGTAAATACTAAACCAACAATCAACAATAAAAAATTGATGGTTTTGGCCGGACGTGGTAGCTCACGTCTGTTATCAGAGCACTTTGGGAGACCGAGGTGGGTGGATCACCTGAGGTCGGGAGTTCGAGACCAGCCTGACCAATAGGGAGAAACCCCGTCTCTAATAAAAGTACAAAATTAGCCGGGCGTGGTGGCCCATGCCTGCAATCCCAGCTACTCAGGAGGCCGAGGCAGAAGAATCGCCTGAACCTGGGAGGCGAATGCTGCAGGGAGCCAAGATCGTACCACTGCACTCCATTCCAACCTGGGCAACTAGAGAAAAACTGTCTCAAAAAAAAAAAAAAAAAATTGATGGTTTTCCCAAATACCACATGTTCTCACTTATTATTTAAGAGCTAAATGGGCCAGGCGCGGTGGCTCAGGACTGTAATCCCAGCACTTTGCGAGGCCGAGGCGGGTGGCTCAAGAGGTCAGGAGATTGAGACCATCCTGGCTAACACGGTGAAACCCCGTCTCTACTAAAAATACAAAAACAAAATTAGCCGGATGCAGTGGTGGGCACCTGTAGTCTCAGCTACTCAGGAGGCTGAGGCAGAAGAATGGCGTGAACCCGGGAGGTGGAGCTTGCAGTGAGCCGAGATTGCGCCACTGCACTCCAGCCTGGGAGACAGAGGGAGACTCCATCTCAAAAAAAAAAAAAAGGCGCTAAATGATGAGAACTCAGGGATATAAAGAGGGGAGACAACAGACACTGGGGCCTACTTGAGGGTGGAAGGGAAAGGATCAGAAAAAATAACTACTGGGTACTAGGCTTAGTATCTGGGTGATGAAGTAATCTGTACAGCAAATCACCACGATGTGAGTTTACCTGTATAACAAACCTACATAAGTATCCCTGAACCTAAAATAAAAGTTTAAGAAAAAAGTAGAAAATTGCTCATTTTCATCAACTTTCATCTTGATTCTTCTTTTAATTTTCTGTTATTCAGAAAGAACTGATAGCTGCTTTATAAAATTAAGTTGTAAAACCAGTCACTCAAATATAACATGTACTGTGAAGTGAAAAAAATCAATACTTTATCCCTTACTATTCTCAGATTTCCAAACGGTGAGGTCACTAGAAGTTCAACAGATAAATGGAACATTACTATATTTACTGGAAGTTGTAGTTTCCCCCCACACACATTTTTTTTTTCTTTTTAAAGAGATGGGGGTCTCATTATGTTTCCTAAGCTGGTCTCAAACTCCTGGGCCCAATCTATCCTTCCATCTCGGCCTCCAGGGTAGATGGAAACACCAGCGCACCACCGCACCCAGCATATCTTTAATGAAATTACTAACTAGATGTCAAAAAAAAAGTTTGACTTTTTGACTACAAATTTTTGATTATTATCCACTTAAATAAAACAGTCAAGAAAGTGATAAGGTTATAGTTAGTATGAATTTCAATATTCATCTTTGTTAACCAAATGATCTTTGAAATACAGTTCCAATGATATTATTTCCCCACAATAAAAACCACAACATTAAATTTTTCCTATTACCTTAAAATCACGGTATCATTTTGTGGATTCAAGTATCCTTCATTTGCAAGCAAGTCCAAACGGAAAAATCTATTATAGCCCCAGCATTCTCCAACTTCAAAGTCAGATGCAAATTCTCGAATGATATTTTTTGTAGGATCATTACAGGACTGGTGAACCATCTCTACACGATATTCATATCTAAAATTGAAAAACAGACCATTACTATACAGTTAGTAAAATAAGAATAAAAGACAAACTCATCTAAACATTAAGGTCACTAAGTAATCACCTGAGAGGAAACCTTATTGATATATGCAATTACATTTCTTTTATCATTTATAAAAACAGCAGTATTTTGGGCTTTTTTTTTGAGATGGAGTTTCACTCTTGTTGCCCAGGCTGGAGTACAATGGTGCGATTTCAGCTCACTGCATCCTCTGACTCCAGGTTCAAGTGATTCTCCTGTCTCGGCCTCCAGAGTAGCTGGGATTACAGGTGTGTATCATGCTTGGCTAATTTTGTATTTTTAGTAGAGACGGTGGTCCATGTTGGCCAGGCTGGTCTTGAACTCCTGACCTCAGGTGATCCACCCACCTTGGCCTCCCAGTGTGCTGGGATTACAGGCGTGAGCCACCACGCCCAATCAGAAAAAGAGCAGTTTTTATTTATTTATTTATTTATTTTTGAGATGGAGTCTCACTGTCGCCCAGACTAGAGCGCAGTGGCATGGTCTCAGCTCACTGCAACCTCTGCCCCCTGGTTCAAGTGATTCTCCTGCCTCAGCCTCCCAAGTAGTTGAGATTACAGGCGCACACCACCACACTCAGCTAATTTTTTGTATTTTTAGTAGAGACATGGTTTCGTAATGTTGGCCAGGCTGGTCTCAAACTCCTGACCTCAGATGATCCACCCTCCTTGGCCTCTCAAAGTGCTGGGATTACAGGCGTGAGCCACTGCACCCGGCCAAAACAGCAGTATTTTGAATGAACCACTAAAACATGAATGGCACTAGGTCCTTTTTTCCTCATAAAGATGTTTACCAATATATTAGGTATAAAACAACACCTCAAAACATAAATAAATTTTGAATAAAGAAGTAATTCAAAGTTGCTTTTGTTTTATTAATGCAATATTTTTTCCTTATATTCACTACATGTTTCCTCATACATAAATATTCTGTTATTTCTATTATCCTTTGAGGTTTATCACCTTGCAATTTTAAAATACAAATTTTGAAATACTCTACTGTATTTTTCCAGCACAAGTTATAGCAAAGTAAATTATTGTGTATTCAGAAAATCAAAGGCTATAAAATTTCCTAATAGAAAATAAGTATGCAGCCATAAAAAAGAATGAGATCATGTTTTTTGTGCAACATGGAAGGATGGAGCTGGAGGCTGTTATCCTTAGCAAACTAATGCAGGAACAGAAAACCAAATACCACATGTTCTCACTTACACATTGGGAGCTAAATGATGAGAACTTATGAACATAAAGAAGGAAACAACAGACACTGGGGTATACTTGAGGGTAGAGGGTGGAAAAAGGGAGAGGAACAGAAAAGATAACTATCAGGTACTGGGCTTAATTCCTGGGTGATGAAATAATCTGTACAACAAACCCCCATGACATGAGTTTACCTATGTAACAAACTTTCATACGTAATGCCAAACCTAAAATAAAGTTAAAAAGAAAAGAAAAAGAGAAAGAAAATAAGTACGCTGGACACAGTGGCTAACACCTGTAATACCAGCACTTCAGGAGGCCGAGGTGGGTGGATCGCCTGAGCCCAGGAGTCTGAGACTAGTCTGGTCAACATGGTGAAACCCCGTCTCTATAAAAACAAAAAACAAAAAAATTAGCTGGGTATGGTAGTGCATTCCCGTAATCCCAGCTACTTGGGAGCCTGAGGCAGGAGGATCACCTGGGCCCAGGAGGCTGAGGCTGCATTGAGCCATAATTGTGCCACTGTGCTCCAGCCTCAGTGACACAGCAAGACCCTGACTCAAAAAGAAAAGAAGTATACACTGGGAAAGCCAATATATTGATTTATATATCCAATCTTGTAAAATTTTCAGGTTTACAAAAAGACAAAGATACAGTCTATAAACTTTTGTGCATTAATGGACATTATCAAGAAAGTAAAAAGACAACCTACCAAATGGGAGAAACTATCGGCAAATCACATGTCTGATAAAGGTTTAGTATCCAAAATATATAAAGAATTCTTGACCAGGCAGAGCGGCTCACACCTGTAATCCCAGCACTTTGGGAGGCTGACGTGGGCGGATCACCTGAGGTCAAGAGTTCAAGACCAGCCTGGCCAATATGGTGAAACCCCGTTTCTACTAAAAATACAAAAATTGGCTGGGCGTGGTGTTGCATGCCTGTAATCCCAGCTATTTTGGGGGGCTGAGGCAGGAGAATTGCTTGAACTTGGGAGGCAGAGGTTGCAGTGAGCTGAGATCATGCCACTGTACTCCAAGCTGGGTGATAAAGTGAGACTCAAAATACATTACATAAATAAATAAATTGAGACATGGTCTCACTCTGTCATTCAGGCTGGAGTGCAGTGGTGCAGACACAGCTCACTGCAGCCTCGACTTCCTGAGCTCAAGCAATCCTCCTGCCTCAACCTCCTGAGTAGCTGAGACGTGTGCAAGGTCTCACCATATTGCCCAGGCTGGTCTCAAATTCCTGGTCTTCAGCAATCCTCCCGCCTTGGCCTCCCAAAGTGCTGGGATTACAGGTATGCGCCAGCCAGTCTGGCATATTAACCTTTGACTGAACAAAAGACACTGTAAATTTTACTTTGTTGGATGTTAGATACTTCAGCAACCTTGTAAATTTTCTTGAGATTCCTTCCGGGATGCAGTTAAGTTACTTGAAAACAATTTGATCCTTTCAGGTCTCACTTTTGTTAGGTGGGTCCAGAGCAGTGTTCTGTCTAGGGCTAATTTCTGCTATCAAGGCAAAAACTTTCTTAGCGTTATACCCAATGACCCATGAATTACAAATTTCTCCACCGTGGTTGGTTGCAACAGACACAGTTCCTGGCTCCGTGTGAACACCAGGCAATCACTATTCCCTCTAATCCTGTCAGGCAATTCTTTCCCCAATCTCAGGTAGTTTCCTCACACATATGCCCTGATAAGTACTCTGCTGAATACCCAAGGGGAACCTATTACAGATCTCTAGACTTCAGTCTCTGCAGCTTTCTCCTCTCTGGTATTTTGTCCAATGCGCTCTAGCTGCATTGTCCTTTCTAGACTCTCAGCACTATCCCCTCAACTAAGTCTGCCAGGTTCTACCTCAGTAGAACCCAGCTCCTCCCTGTGTTGCAGCCTGAAAACTCTCTCAAGGCTGTAAGCTGGAGAAATCACAGAGCTGGTTTGTGTTTTTCATCTCTCAGGGACTGTTTTCATTTGTTACCACCATGTCCAGTATCTAGAAAATGTTTCATCAAGTTTTTTTTTGGTTGTTGCAAGAAAATGCGTAGATCTCATCCCTCTTGATTCATGTTAGCTGAAAGCAGACATTCCATACCAAACTAAGAGATTTCATGTAACAGAGTTAAAAAAAAAATCATTAATATGATTCCAGATCCCACATTATAAATAACATTTAATAACCTACTACTTGTTCAGTTTGGATGTAATATCAAAGAAGATCCACAATTATCTAAAACCACTTTAAAAAATATTCCTCCTTGACAAAAAGTACATTTGTGGTTCTCAGGGACTGAAGGAAAGGGGGAATGGGAAGTGACAGATAATGAGTACAGGGATTCCTTGTGGCGTAAATAGAATGTTATAAAATTAGATGTTGGTGATGGTTGTAGAACTCTGCAGCCAGATTTTACACATGTATTTCAATCAAAATGATATTTTTAAAAAATTGAATATAAAAACAGACATGAGAATCCAGTTGTCTTCTTTTAAGCCAGATAGTAAAGAGATTTCCAAAAACACAAAGCAATACAAGTTTTCTTAAAAATATATATTTTTTAGGAAAATAGTTACTTTTCATTTAAAAATGTTATTTATGTTAGTATGCAACAGACTTGTTGTTACCTCAAAAGTGAATTAAAATTTTATATAATTTTTTTCAGTTTTAAGTTCCAACTCAGAAAATAACAATATATGTAATCCATATAAACAAAAACTCTTTGGGGTTCCCAATAATTTTAAGAGTATGAGACCAAACAGTTTGAGAACTGCCAATCCATACCATCCTATGATGCCAACAATTTCATATTACTCTACATCTTAACAGATATACCAATACAGTAATTAACAAAAATATAAATTAGCAAAAATTGCTAGGGGGAATGTATGTAAACGCACATTAAGGTTGTTATTTAATTACACTTCTTACTTAGAAGTTTCAGGCAAGCCAGCTGAGAGTTCCAGAAACACAGATAAGTAGTAACCTCGCACAACTCCATTTCCATCCTAAAAGAAGAATAATCAGTTGAAGTGTAAAAAAAATTAAGCCACAATAAAACAAAATGCAGATTAACATCTGATATCTAGATTGAGAAATACTTCTAAGCCTCAAAGCAATGGAAGAAATAAAAAAAAAAAAAAAACACCAATAGATTTGAGTTCTTAACAACTTTAAACTTCTGTGTATTAAAAAAAAAGCGAAACTACTAAGGCACAGAAATGAAGGGAAATATCAACAACCATGAGAAAGGTTAAGAGTCTTAACATATATAGAACTCTTACAAATCAACTTTAACAAAAAACCAAGACCCTAATGGGAAAAATAATTTCATTAGAAATGAGGCAAAAAAAATTTTAAACCAAAAATTAATTTTTAAGACCAACATACAAAAAGGTAATACCCTATGCTGAAAGTAATTAAATACAATTTCTGTATGATTTTAATGTCAGAATTCCATATAAGATTCTGTCTAGAGATTGAGAAGTTGTTTAAATCTCTACTATAGATTTTATTTTTATAAAGATAATTACTCCCTTTTTGTTTAATTGGGCAAGACTCTTTTAAAAAAAGAGATAATTACTTCCTATGTATTGCCCTAGTACTTCAGGTGTCTATGTTTTAAAAGAATCACATTTATTATAACTACTTGTTTAAACATCTATTCCCCCAATGAGACAATGAAGGCTGAGAACAGAGATCCTTATACATCTACAGTGTCTACTGGGACATGACTACAGAGGGGTACAAGTACTATTAACCCCTTCATTTTTGGTCTACCTTGCTTGAAACGACCTGAGGCAACTTTTGAGGCTTGACATGATAATCACTCAATAGATATCAATGAATAAATGAATCATCAGCTAGGTGAATAAAGCCAGACACAAAAGATTATACATTATTGTATAATCCCATTATATAAAACTTTTCTTAAAAAAAAAAATCTGAAACTACATATTGAAAGACTTTAGTGTGTAACTAAGCATACTAACCCAGGAGGACTAAAATGTGTAATAGTAAATTACTGGACTCAAAAAGATTATTTAGCATCTAGGTAATATCACCAAACATCTTTAAAAGTAAAGAAAAATAGTTTATTATCACACTTTTCCTAAAGAAAATGGAATTGCATATTGAAGATACCCAATGAAGGAAAATATGAGCCAAGGATTTTATACCCAGCAATACTAGCCTTAGAATATAAAGGGCAAAAACTGTTTTCAACATATGAGAACTCAGGGAATATTGTTTCCAACAGGCCTTCCAGCAGAATATATTAGAGAACTAGGTGAGGACAAACAGTTGTCTAACATGGAGGGAGAAGGGGAACAGGGAACGAGGACAGCATATGGAATAAAAAATAAGAAGAGTTAACAGTTCTCAGTAATCAAACTAGTGTACTACAGAACTCTGAAAGAAAGACATTGGTTTCAAACTTTATTAGAAACATCAAAAACTTACTGGGTAAACTTTTAATCTCCAGCAAAGTCCTGAAACTTGAAGAGGTGGACTGTAAACAGGATCTGCTCTCTGACGCAAAGTGCTAACGAAAAAGAAAACCAACCAAATACCAAGATCAAAACTGTTGTGAAATGGCAACAGGCAAAAAGAAAGACCAACCAGTTTCTTTGCTACATATTTGAAATCTTAGACAAATAACAAGGTGACTGATCAAGTCAAAATTCCACTGTAAAAGTTTAGATATGCTTACATTCTGAAATAAAGAGAATTTAAAAATACTGAAATATTCAGCAATATCTTTTAAGTTTCAGGGGAAAAAAAACCCCTCAAAATTGTGACATTTAAGGGAAAAGGAATATATCACTAAGTCTCCCAAATTTAATTAATGCTTCAACAAGCAGTCTTTCACCATTAAAAATAAAACCCAGAAGGTTTCTTCCTCACTTCTCTGCAGTATAATCATCTTTTAACATTGAAAAACGAGAGTACACTAAACCTTAATAAATGTGGGAAAAACCTCAGAAAGACTATGTTTTAGCCACGAAAGTATCCCATGAGAAAAGACAAATTAAATGGGAAGAGGGATAAATTCTGTGTGGCTTTTTTTTTTTTTTTTTTTTTTGAGACAGAGTTTTGCTCTTGTTGCCCAGGCTGAAGCACAGTGGCACAATCTCGGCTCACTGCAACCTCCACCTCCCGGTTTCAAGCGATTCTCCTGCCTCAGCCTCCTCCCAAGTAGCTGGGATTACAGACGCCCACCACCACGCCCAACTTATTTTTGTATTTTTAGTAGAGACGGGGTTTCATCATGTTGGCCAGGCTGGTCTTGAACTCCTGACCTCAGATGATCCACCTGCCTCGGCCTCCCAAAGTGCTGGAATTACAAGCGTGAGCCACCATGCCCTGCCCAGTGTGGCCTTATTCTGATGGTCTTTGCCTATTATTTGGAGTTTCTCTCCTGAAGACCTTATATTACTTGTTTCCATTTCCATGCTGCCCTCAAAGACAAATTGCTAAGAACCTTTGCATGTTATGATCTTCACTTCTGATCTTAGAGAAAAAGTAGTAAAAGCAAACAAAATTAACACACAACTGACAAATTTCTTACAATAATGGCCCCTATCCACAATTCTTCACTTTGAGCTGAGATAAATGGATTTCAATGGATTTCTTCCCACTACTTTTATTTCTAACAATGGGTAAGTGGGGGCTCATCAACCTCTAACTGTTCGGCCCCTCACCTTAGCCAAAGCTAAGTGATCTCTCTTACTTAAAACGGTTCCTCACTTTGGGCAGTATAATCACTTTGGCCACCACAGCTAATGTCTATAATTCCAGCACTTTGAGAGGCTGAGTTGGGAGAATCAGAATCACTGGAGCTCAGGAGTTTGAGACCAGCCTAGGAAACAGTGAGACCCCATCTGTGTGGTGGCACATGCTTGTAGTCCCAGTTACTTGGGAGGCTGAGGTGTGAGGATTGCTGCAGCCCAGGAGGTTGAGGCTGCAGTGAGCAATGATCATGCCACTGCACTCCAGCCTGGGTGACAGAGCAAAACCCTGTCTCAAAATAAAAAGAAAAGGTTCCTTTTCCCAGACTAGAGAAGCAGTCTAAAGATACAATAAAATCCAGCACAAATAATCTCTATGTTTCTAATATGAAACTTATTCTTCTAAGACTTCTAAAGTGAGCGACACAATTCACTAGATTACTGTCTTACCAAAGAATACCTTCCTGGCTCTTCCTTATATACACCTACAAAAAACCAGAATTGTCAAAAACTCTTACCTGAAATTCTCCAAAACAAAAGTAGCTGAATCATAAGATGGCACTAATTCACTAAAAGAAAGCAAAGACAAAAATAATTATTTAGCTTATATGTTTAAAATTCCATTTACCTAAAAAAACCAAGTCCCTCAGTAGTATCTTAAAAACTTTATTAAACTAAAATCTAAGAAATATTTTTAAATCTTTATTGAAGATAACATTAAATCAAATGACTTCATAAAACCATCATGTATGCAATTAAATCAGAAATACAAATACTTTATAAAAGTTTTTTGGCTGGGCGAGGTGGCTCACGCCTATAATTCCAGCACTCTGGGAGGCCAAGGTGGGTGGATCACCTGAGGTCGGGAGCTCAAGACCAGCATGGCCAACATGGTGAAACCCCATCTCTATTAAAAATACACAAAAATTACCCAGATGTAGTGGTGCGCCCCTGCAATCCCAGCTACTCGGGAGGCTGAGGCACGAGAATCGCTTGAACCCTAGAGGCGGAGGTTGCGGTGAATCGAGATTGCACTACCACACTCCAACAAAGGCAACAGAGCCAAACTCTGTCTCAATCAATAAATCAAGAAATATTTTATAAACGTTTTTTTCCCTTAAAAAAGGCAATACATTACGTAATTAATTATTAAAGTAAGTACTAGAAATGCACTTTAAAAGTACTCATGGAAATGGGAAAAAGAAATTGACACTTAGGGTGTGTATCTGAATTATGAAACAGATATAAACATGCTTTAAAAAATGAAAAGAACCAACAGTCAGCGATATCACAGTTAATCCCCAAAGTTCCTTTTTTGGAATGAATTATGGGAAATATTAACAGACTTCAAATACTTTGAAACTATTTACTAGTAAATAAATCTACACATTTTTATAGGATGAACACCTCATTACCTAAGGGGCAACTGTGAGGGACTAGCACACTAACACTTTCTTGGCAAGTCAAAACTACTTCAAGCAACTTTAGTCCCATCCAATCTTCTTCAAAGAGAACTGCATTATAATCACAGTATGGACTAAACGTCACTTTGCTGCTAACTACCTTTAATCATGTGGATGGTTTGTACACTGTCATTAGAACACCTCAAAATTCATTAAAACACTATGAAAAAGACTATCATACAGTTTTAATACAGTGTTATGAATTTGATATATAAAATTACAAATTTACCAAAACAATAAACTGCAAACCATTTCACCACATCTTCAGGTATATTTTCTAAAGTTCAATTCATCATAATTTTGGTTATTATCAAAACAAGATAAAAGATACACCTACAGCACTGCCACACTGTGATAGTGTCTAAAGAAATTAATGGCTTGCAATACAATATAGATAAATAATTCTTTATTTTAGTGTAAGTACGTATAGCTAAATAGGTCACATCTTTTAAACGGTAAGTAGATGTACTTTGCCATGTGATTAACTGTATAGCTACTATCCAAATTGACTATGTCAAGAATCCCTATGATATCTCTAGTCAGTTGTTATCCTTCCTTAGAAGACTCACATTCCTCATCCCCATATCCTTTTGCCTGGTTAACCCTTACTATCTTTTCAGATAACAGATTAGAAGTCACATGCTCTTGGAGGTTTACTCTAAGGTCTTCCCATTGTATGATCTCCTAGCACTCAATATACACAAACCCCATTTAGCAGGGCCAATGCAATTAGTGCCTAGGAAGCCTTTCTAGAACCATAAACATAGTAAGAGCTCTAAGGGAGCTTTCCCAGTATAGTCTTCAAATTTGACATGCTTTTGTAATTTTGTGCAACTTTCAATCACGTCTCCTACCAAGTACAGAATATCCTCCACATGCAAAGACTTTAATCAATCCCCAGTTGCCTGCTAATCTGCATACTATTTCTTCTGCCACGTTCAGTGTGATTTATTTCCTGTGTTGTTGTTACTGTTATTTCTGCTCTAAGTCCAGACTATCATTATCATATTTTATTGGCCATTAAGGGTCAAAAGAGTTCAGCAGAACACAAAATAAACAACAGGAGATGCCATTTTCAACTCAGAATGGTGAAGTAGAAAGCTTTCAGGCTAAAAAGCACAAGTTACTAATACTCATGAACCAAGAGGGTACAGTCCAGTTTACCCTAGTCTCACTTGCTAAGAGAAAATGACCATATTCAGAGCACAGAAAACTGGTACTGTGATATACTTTCACACATGTACATTTTCCTATGGAAAACCTTTTGGACACAAATAGTATAATGACAAATTAGTGGTATGGGGCAGCATTAAACAGGATATTTACTTCCCCTATCGCCAGTTACCACATTAATTTTATCAATGTTCCAATAATCTGTTTTTCTAAATCATAATTATAAATCCAAAGAGGTCTGTATTATGCTTACTGCTAGCACTTAACACATGCCTAAAATATAGCTGGCATATATATTCACTGAATGAATATTTACAAATACTTGCTGGCAGATTCATAGAGTTGGAAATATTTGCTCAAAAATTTCTTTCGCAAAAGAAATTATTTTGCTTTTTTTTTTTTTTTTTGAGACGGAGTCCTGCTCTGTGACACAGGCTGGAGTGCAGTGGCGTGATCTTGGCTCACCGATTTTGCATTCTTTATATTTACACACAAAGCTATTGCTACTGCTAGGCCATCTAATTCTACCACCACCTCTCCATATTATGCTCATTCATTTAGAGGTTATCTTCAGTCATACTGATGTTACCATTCTGTGGCTGCAGATGAGGCACTGCTTTATCTTTTCATAGTTTTAAAATTTTCTCCTCCTCTTTCAGAAGTGTAGACTGCTCTGGTCTTTATGATGACTGGATTCATCTCATGATGGTGTCAGTGAATCTTTGTCTTCAAAGAATACGGGAAACTAGCCTCAAACCATCTCTAGCCCAGTAATCTGGAAGTCACTGATCTGCAAATCTTCAGACCAGTAACCTCACCATAATTTCATGAACAAAGGGAAAAAAGGGAGAACCACAAGTATCCATTTTTTCCTTAAGGAAATAAGACTCCTGAGCTATATAAAAACTGGTTCTCCTTACCAACTTGACTATTTCTCCCTGAAACATAAAACTCTCTACGAACCGAGAGCTATACTATTTTATCTTTTTTTTTTTTTCTTTTCTGCCTCTGCCTCCTGAGTAGCTGGGATCACAGGCATGCGCCACCACGCCTGGCTAATTTTGTATTATTAGTAGAGACGGGGTTTCTCCATGTTGGTCAGGCTGGTCTCAAACTCCTGACCTCAGGTGATCTGCCTGCCTCAGGCTCTCAAAGTGCTGTGGTTACAGGTGTGAGCCACTGCGCCCGGCCCACAGTAAGATTTTTAGTTCCTCTTCTCCCATGCAGCACCTGCAACAATACTGGGCACATGGTCTTTAATAAACAACACTACACTGATTTAGTGACCTTTTCTTCTCCATTGTGGCTCCATCACCAATTACTAACTGATGGAACTAAAAGCAATAGAAATACCACTGCTTTGCACATCTAAACTTTGGTGTGTAACTTAACGTCACGAATGCTGGCCTTTCTTATTTGGCCCTCTTTTCCTGTATGTTGCAACTAATAAAATGGGTTTCTAATGAGAATTAACTAAAAGCCAAAGTTTCCAATAAGGTAGTGAGCATTACTGGAGAAAGAGAGAAGGCCCTAAAAGTGCTTAATTAACAGACTAGTGAG